AATAGACAGAACAGAGGCTATTATGTCCATGTGACATTTCCCTTTTTTGTTCATTTCACTTTAAATAAAGGAAAAGGTCTGCATAAGGTTAAATTTTAGTCCTCATTGTGTAGGGAAACATTTCTATAGTTCCAGCATCTCCTCTTTATTGCTGTGTCTTAGATCAGGGCTTCTCCTTTGGAAGGAGTGTGTGAAGAGGTCAGTAGTTTCCATTCCCCTCCTTCCCTCACTCTCAACCTTGCTCTTCTAGTTCAGTCTGAAGTCTCTTGTTCTCCTTCCATAGGGTGTTTTTTCTCACTAGCCTTTTTAAGTGCTGGGAAATTACATAGTGGTAAAATCTGTGGTAGAATGTTGTTAAATCCTCCATGTGTTTAACATTGCATCAGCTGCTTGTAGTTAAACCAACAATTTTTGTCCATTCTGATGGAAATCTTGTTTTATGCTGTGTGATCACATGTTCTAATATGCTCTATGTTTACCATTGCAGACGGTGCCATAGGGTTCTGCATATGTTTCAGAACCCAGCCTCAGTGCTGTTACAGACCTAACCATAGAAAGGCAAATTGTTACCATTTACCAGATAACTTGCTTTCAACAGTGTAGACTTCCACCCTGCCAGACTTCACAAGATACTGTCTCACCACTTTAGTTGGGGAAATACAGTAGGGTTTCAGACTTGAAAGAATCAAATTGGAGAAGCAGGAGGGAACCCTAGAGAAAAAGAAATTCCTGGATGGAGATTGGTTGTAAACTTGCCTGTCAGAGAAACAGAAGTCTGTGCATTCTCAATCAAGTCATAGAATGCAAATCAGCTAAGAAAGTGTGAAGACATCTTGCCACTTGATGATTTTAGCCAGGGCCAACTCCGGGCACCAGCCCAGCAAGCAGGTGATTGGGGCGGCCAATGGAGCGGGGCCGTCACTCCCTCTCGGAGTGAAGGACCAGCCACCGAATTGCTGCCGTAGAATGAAGCGGCGGTAGAGTTGCCGCCGATCGCGATGGCTTTTTTTTTTTTTTTTTTTTTTTTTTTTTTGCTGCTTGGGGCGGCAAAAACGCTAGAGCCGGCCCTGATTTTAGCTCATTCAGGAGTTCCCCTAATAAGCTGACATATCTGTTTTCTGACTGATGTTTCTGAGCTATGGTGATCAGCTGGCTTGATCATTTGGTGGTGACAGTTTCCAAAGTAGCAGACTGCTTATTCAAGTACAGCTGAACCTCAGTTTTCTGTTTTTCATAGTCTCTGTGCAGATGTGTGGAGAACCCCACAGCTTCTCCAATCCCTTCCAACAGAAGGGAAAAAAATGCCAGGAATTGAATTTTTGCTCTTATGTGTGGGAGTGCAGAGAACTATCATGCCAATCCAGGGCCCCGCTCCAGTCACTTATCATTAAGGCTGCGAGTCTTTCATGGAAGTCACGGATTCCATGAGTTTCTGTGACTTCTGCAGCCACTGGCGCTGGCTCAGGAGCTGCCCAAGCTGGCCAGCAGCAGCAGTTTGGGTTTGTGGGACGGGACGGGGTTGGGAGGGGGATGCTTACCTTTGGGGGGCTACCCAGCTTCCACGGCCCTGCAGCTCCTAGCTGGCAAAGGGGCTGGGGGGAGCTCCATGCCGCACACTGCTCGTGCCCGCAGGCCCTGCCCTCTAAGCTCCCATTTGCTGTGGTTCCCAGCCAATGGGAACTGCAGCAGAGCTGGCGCTTGTGGCGGGAGCAGCCCGCCGAGCCCCACCAACCCTCCCCTCCTAGCACCAACAGGGGTCCCAGGCCACACACCGTGGCCCGGCTCCCCCCAGCACCAGCGGGGGTCCTGGGCCGTGCTGCCCTCCGCCCCCCACCAGCTGGGGTGCCCCTACCCCCAGCATTCACAGACCTCCGCCCAAGTTTTAGTCATGGGTATTTTTAGTGAAGGTCATGGACAGGTCTCGGGCCGTGAATTTTTGTTTACTGCCTGTGACCTGTCCATGACTTTTACTAAAAATACCCGTGACTAAAACATAGCCTTGCTTATCACTTCTTCATCAGTGCAAAGTGGATCCTAAAGCTAGACAATCTGACCCTAGAGAATCTCCCCCCATGTAAGGAGATGTTACAGTGGCTCTATGCTACCCCTCTCCCTGTGTAGTTGAAGTGACTTAGAAAAGAGGATGTGACTAGGACACAGCCCCTTTGGATCATTGTCAGCTAGCACAGCTTAAAGCAGTCTTCAAACTGCTCTAGTTTTTACTGGTAATCGGCCTGCTAGTGCAGAGTGCCCCCTATGTTGAAAAGCAAAAAGAGAATCTTTGTCTTTGTGTTCTGTAGTTGTCCTGAATGTTCCTCAGTCACAGCTGAGGATCTGGTCCATTGCCTACTGAGAATACAGAACTATCAAGTGTTTCCCTTTTAAAAAATAAACCCTAAAGATTACATAGCCATTTTAAAATGCAGATGACAATTTAAGGCCAGACATATTCTAATTTTTTTTTTTAATACACCACGATACGATATTCTCAGAAGGGGATAAATATGTTGCATAACATTATTAAACTTGGTGGGACTTGGATGCAGATTATAAAGTAGACAAACATATAGATTCTTTTTTAAACCTATTTTATTTTTTTAACTACTTGTTAATAAACACTTTTGGTATGAATCACATGTTAATTTTTTTCTGAAAGAACCTGCTCAGTTACGGCTGTGGAATCTTCAGCAACTCAGTTGTTAAAGATTTTATCGGACATGATTCTTACTTTCACGCAGAAGCAATATATACATTTTAAGTTTGTTTTTCAGGTATCTTTATGTCCAGAAGATGGGTTGCTTAGTTTAAATTTGAAAAGTACATATTTTTTAATTGAGGCAAAATGCATAAGTGTTTTAAATGCTTTATACAGCTATCTACGGTATGCCTTGATTTAATTTAGTTTTACTAGAAAATATACTTTAGAGAACAAACCTGCTTAGTTCCTCCCTTTGGCCAATCTGGCTTCAAAGGATTTTCCTGGTTCTAATTTCTGTCATTGTAATTCTGTAAATTCTCAATATAGTAACATGAACAGTCGTCCAAGAGAATTCTCATCTAGATAGTATGCTGTTTTAAAAAAACATAATCAGAAAATCCCAAAATGTTACAAATGCTATTCATTTAGAGCAGAAAATAAATTCTCGAGGTGTTTTGCTCTGAATCACTGTGTATTTTTTAAGGTCCAACAAAAGCCTTGTAACCCAACAACAAGATAGTGGGGTCAACAACTTTATTTGATTCACACATCCTATAAATCAGTGTTCTTTTTCATTTTTAAGGGTGTTATGGTCTTGTCTTCCTGAATGCCAAGTAATTTTTTTTCCTCTTGAAAATTTTTCTAGTGGACGAGTTGATACAATATCAAGAAGTATGCTTACATTTCTCTGTGTTCAAAAAATAAATAAAAAGAAATAAAGCCAAGCTACCTGAAACCAAACCATCCTTCATTTAAAACAAAATATGCAGGGCAGGGATAAGTGAGTATGGATGGTATTGGATTCCACTTCGAAGAAATTAAAGGTTATTTGTGTGGGGATAAATAATAAACATAGTTATTTTAGAGAACGGAGAGGCCTGGAAAGCAGTAATTTTTTTTTTTTCAATGACAACTGTATAATTCTGGGATAATCTGTCACAGCTCTAATTTTTTGCCACTGTGGACAATGAATCTATTGCCTGTAGAGAAACGTACACCAAACTGATGTGAGGTGGGTGGGTGGGTAAGGTTCTGTGCCCTGCAATATGCAGAAGGTCAGACTAGATCAGTGGTCTCTAACGTTTTTACGCATAAGATCACTTTTTGAATTTAAGTGCAAGCCAGGATCTGCCCCGCCCGGCTCACTCCTCCTCTCCCCCCCCCCCCCACACGTCACTCGCTCTCCCCGCCCCTCACTCAGTTTCACCTGGCTTAGGGAAGGGGTTTGGGGTTTGGGAGGGGGTGTGGGCTCTGGGCTGGGGCCGAGGGGTTTGGAGGTGGGGGCAGCTCTGGGCTGAGCTTGGGGCAGGGGGTTGGGGTGCAGGAGGGGGTGAGAGGTGCGGACTCTGGGAGGGAGTTTGGGTGTAGGAGGGGATTCCGGGCTGGGGCAGAGTGTTGGGGTGCAGGAAGGGTTTTGGGGTGCAGGAGGGGGTATGGAGTCCTGGCTCTGGGAGGGGGTTCTGGGCTGGGGGTTGGGATGCGGGAGGGGTTTCAGGGTGCATGAGGAGGTATGGAGTGCTGGCTCTGGGAGGGGGCTCAGGACTGGGGCAGGGATTTGGGGTGCAGGAAGGGGCATGGGGTGCTGGCTCCAGGAGGGGGCTCAGAGCTGGAGGTTGGGGTGCAGGAGAAGTGCGGGCTCCCGCCGGGCAGCACAGTGGGACTAAGGCAGGCTCCCTGCCTGCCCCGGCCCCACGTCACTCCCAGAAGTAGCCAGCGTGCCCCTGTGGCCCCTGGCGGGGGGCACATGGCTCTGCACGCTGCTCCTACCTGCAAGCACCACCCCCGCAGCTCCCATTGGCTGCAGTTCCCGGTCAATGGGAGCTGTGGGGGTGGTGCTTGCAGCAGGAGCAGTGCGCAGCAACCCCACCGCCGCAGGGGCATGCTGGCCGCTTCCAGGAGCAGCATGGGGCCGGGGCAGGCAGGGAGCCTACCTTAGCCCCACTGCGCCGCTGGACTTCTAATGGCCAGAGATTACGATGGACTGTCAGAGGCTCTAGAATCAACCAGTTGATCGTGATCTACCAGTTGGTGACCACTGGACTAGATGATCATTATGTTCCCTTCTGACCTTAGTCTATGAGTCTGTATGTGAGATGTCAGAAATATTTTAACACCTCCTTCCTTACCGCCTGTAGCTTTATTTGTGTTGTGCTGGATTGTGCAAAAAAGCAATGATGCATTTTTGCTGACTTGTTAGTTCAAAGAAACAGTAGTTTCCTCCAGCAGTAGTAAATATAAACTGTCCCTAATTTTACAATTCCTAGAATCAGATTTTTCCCCCTTCTCTTCCTGCTTCTTTTAGTGGGCAGTTTGCTGTAGTGAAAAAATGTCGTGAGAAGAGCACTGGTCTACAGTATGCTGCAAAATTCATCAAGAAACGGAGAACAAAATCCAGCCGACGGGGAGTGAGTAGAGAAGACATTGAGCGAGAAGTTAACATACTGAAAGAGATTCAGCACCCCAATGTGATCACACTGCATGATGTTTATGAGAACAAAACAGATGTTATTCTTATTCTGGAACTGTAAGTAGCTCTTGAGGGGCTTGGGGCATGGTGGAGATTGTCTTTATATTTGGGAAGTAGGGGTTTTCCGTCAGAGTGGTAACGACTTAATGAACTTCCTGTATAAATGCAGGCGAGTCTTGGTGTTTTGAGAGCTCTTTATTCCAGGTTAAACTTGCAACTCATAGTAGTTCATTGAAATAGACTGCCCAGAATCCAGAGGTAGAGTCACAGTTCAATAGATCCAGTGTAGGTCTTTCCACTTGCTACTTTAGTCACTATGATTATGGTGGTATCCAAAAGTAACATTCAGCCTGCATATCTCCAGTTAAAATTGCTCTGAGTGTACAATGGGGAATTGGGTGGGGGACATAGATTTTTAAGAACCAAATTAAATGGTGATTTGATTCATAATTATTATAGTGAGCCAGTTTTTGTTCTGCATTATATTGGTGTAAATTCAGAGTAACACTATTGGACATCTTTTTACATCTGTATAACTAAACAGAATTTACCCAATGTATGTTGCTATTCTGCAATGTTGAAACTCAAACTGAGCTTTTATATTACTTCATTTGTCTTTGATATGCTTCTTACCTTGCATGCAAGGCTAGTATTAATAGGTGGGATGGATGCAAAATACATTTGTAAGAAATGGTTTTGGATAGTTCCTTTCCGTTCTTAAAATTCCCTCGGAAGTTTCAGGTTTTAGAGGGTAAACACAGAGACCACTTTTAAGGGAAGGTCCCAAAAGTGCTTTTCGGCAGCGGCAAGCACATTCTTTGTACACTTTTGATGGCCTGTGCTGCTGCAGGATTGGTCAGACTCAGTTTAGAATTACCATTTACTCAGAACAAGAAGCCAGAACTAGTTGGGACAAGTGAAGCTCTAGGTCACACCCATGAAGCACAGCACAGAACTAGTATTTGTGTGTGTGTGTGTGTGTGTGTGTGTGTGTGTGTGTTTTGGGCACATCTTGCTTTACTGAAGCTTTAGAGAATGGGGGGTTCTAGCCAAAATTCAATTTCATGCTAAATATAATTATTAAAAACAAGGCAATGGCATTATTTAAAGTTGATCAGTATGACAAATAGGTTTAATTGCAGGCCTGTACACCAATCTTCCACTTATGTTTTAAAGGCTGAAATTTGGGTTATCCCTGGAGAAATAGTGGAAACTCCAGCAGCCACTCACAATTTGAAACTGACACCAGAATCTTGGCCAGGGTTCTGTTGGTTTTTCTTTTCCTTTTGTGCTGATTGGTTTTTCTCTGCTTACTAGTTTGTACACTTAAAACTGTCCCTTTCCCTTCTTTAATATTTTTATACTTTAGGACACTGTGTGTATACAATGCTTTCCACCCTCCTATTAGCCTACACACAAGTTAACAATAGGAATTTAGGAAGGAAGCAAAGTTAGAGAAGATCAGAATTCCCACGGTTATTTCTCATGATTTATACATACTATAAATCCTAGTAAACTTGTTGAAACATATCTACGGCTGTCCTACATATGATTGTTTACCATGCCTCTATTTATCTGTCTGGTATTTATCACCTTAGGTGCTTTAATTTGTGCTGCCGGTCTACGCTGCATTGATAATTAAGGAGGAGAAGAGTGAAAAAAATTAAGATCTTTGTTTTTACAAATATTTTGCATGATAAAACTTCTTGAAGATTTATAATTAGCATTGGAAGATCTACCAATCCGTCCCTTCTTCCAGAACCCCTTAAATGCTGCATCAGTGCAGAGTACTGTGACTTATTTTTTCTGACTTGTTGTTATTTCCAGAGATGTCATTTATCACTTCCTCTAGCTTTTTTAACACCTGGGTTGTGACACAAAATTCAATCCCAAGGATGTTTCAAAGGGTGGCTCCTGCAGCTCTGGTCCCATGGGGCTGGCTGGGCTTGGCTCCCTGCTGTGGGCATTGTGACCTGTCTGGTGCATGGGGTCACAGCGCTGCTCAGATTTGGCCCAGCCACCTGTCCATGATAGTGGGGAGCCAGCCAGGCCAAATTTGAATGAGTGATGCTGCAACCCTGTGCATCAGGGTGCAACACTATTCTCCCAAATTTGGCCCCCAGAACCCCATCAGAGGGCCAGAGCCAAAACTGAGCAGCACTGCAACCCCATACACCAGGTCACAACATCCGAGCCAAGTCAGCCTTGTGGAACAGGAGCCACAACTACAGGGTAAGTGCAGGGTGAACTCTGTTATCTT